GTAAGCTGTCGTGCTCTTGGGCTCCACAAAGCTCAACCATGTACTATTCATGCTCTGCGTCCCCCAGTAAGGGGTACCCTTTGCCTTCTCGCCTTTTTTGCAACGAGGACGCGCCAACATAGAACAGCGGCCTTAACAAACAGAATGGCCTTAACAAACACAGTTTGGGGTGCGATAAAGTAAAACTATCATAGTCAAGCGCAACTTGCATACTACTCTACTCTTTTAGGGCTCGGACTACAACCCTAAACCCTAAACCCTAAACCCCTACGCGTAAGTTTGGCTTTAGGCTTTAAGGCTCCGGGTTTAGGGCGTCCGACGCGGGGTCTAGAACTGGAACCGCTGGTGAAGTGTGGAAAACCGGTTCGCCATGTTTGTGCAGCTGCGGTACCTCCCACCACTACTATGCCATTACTACGACGTACTACGATGATGGCTGTTTCTTTTGATGATTGCTGTTAGCTACTCTTAATGCTACTCTTACCACAATTACTAACACCTGACGCATGTTACTTCTGCATGCTTCCGCAAGGAATTCTTCTTGCGCCGCCCCTGCCTTGACAATTCGAATTGTGGTTTGGGGTAGGATACTGCCTCATCCTAAACCCTAAACCCTAAACCCTAAACCCCAAACGAATAATAATAAGGAGCCCGGAGGAAGAATGTTCGTGAGTTATTGATTAAGACCCCTAAGCCCTAAACCCTAAACCCCCAACCGTAAACCCAAAAAGCCTCTCTATAAATCACAGAGATTTCGGCTTACGGTCTGGGGTTCGTGCCTTGAGGCTCGGGTTCCTGCCACCGAGCACTACACTGCTGCCCTTCTAGGGATTTAGGGTTTAGGGTATAGAAACAATAAGCCCTAAAACACTACCCTAGAATGCTGTCATTTAACCCCAAACCCTGCCCCAAACTGCTATCCTTAGCTGCCCAACACTGAACCTCAACAAGCCTGTGGCTGGCTGCCGCTGACATCCATGGTGCCATCGTTTTTGAAGTTCCCAGTCTGCCGGCGCGCTTGGGTGCTTCGGGTTTATGCTTGGCTTTGTGGGCTTAAGGACGTCAAACAAAACTTCTTGAAAGGCACTCACTCAGCATGCAGGAGGTTAGGATACAACCTTCCTGAGCGGTTCCGTATTCTGCAGTATACTTATGCTACGCCGCCTTGCCGATGACGGGGTCAGTAACAACAACGGTGAGTGATCCGAAGCTCGGACCGCACCACCGAAGACAAGGAAAAAGCAAGACACAGCGGGTTCGGGTTTGGGGCTCAAGGGTTGAGGCTTTAACCGCCGTTTAGGGTTACACACGCGCAGGCGAAATCTCCACTTCCACATCCCGCCTTACGCACTTGATGCCTGAACCCTGAACCCCGAACCCTAAACCCTCAACCCTGAACCCGAAACCCCCCAAGCCAACACCCTGTATAAACCAGCGCACCGTCGTCCCTGGGATGGCAAAGCAGTTGATGCATTCAAAGTCCGGCGGAAACCTCGGATCCATGGTTAAACCGGCGTTTGGGGCTAGGGGATCCCTTTCCTCAAAGACGTTTTGATCCCCTCTAAAGTGCTTACCAGGCAAGGCCTGTCTATTACCCTAAACCCTAACTATTACCCCAAACCCTAAACCACAAAAATTACCCTAAATCTACCAAAAACTCCGAATTCCGAAATCTTGATGGCAGCCCCGCCCTTCAGACTGCCCTGTGAAACTCTCCGGCTCCGCAGCTACACCCCAAGACTTACCTGGTTTATGGTTTTAGGGCTTAGACCGAACCCCCTAAACCCTAAACCCTGAAACCCTCAAACGGACCCCCCAAGCGCCCCTTTAATGGAGCCCTTATGGTCCTTTATAGTGGGTATTTAGGCTGTATTAGAGGGTAGTTGGGGGGTCTAGGAAACAAAACCCAGAATCTAAGCCTTCCAAGACTAAAGCTTTATGCCCTGAACACCCTAAACCCAAAGTCCTATAGACGCTAAGAAGCCTAAAGCCCTAAACAATGAGCCAAACAAACGCTCAACTCGTTACGCCCAGCGAGCTCTACATAAACCTTCTAGTAGCCTTTCTACAAACCCTAAAATTACAAACCATACCAGCCTATTCCTAGGTTCCCCAGGAAACCCTAAGAAATCAGGTTATATACCCCTTTCCCTAGTCTTCGGTCCAAAGCATAAACAGGGCAAAAGGGAGCACACTAGGAGACCGCGACCGTAAATCCTAAACCCAAACCCCAAATACCAAACCGTATAAACCCTAGATAGTAAACCCTACTCCTAAACTAAATACCAAACCCTGTAGATTTACACCAGAGTGCCCGAGGACCCGGACAAATCTACGGGTTATACTAGAGGGTCTCTAGAGAGGTTCTGTAAGGTTTTGGATCAGGTCTTATAGAATTGTTGCAAATACAGGTTCAGTAAGAAGGGGTCAGAGTATAGAGAGTGTTGTAAGGGTAAGATGACAGTTCTATACAGTTTAGGGTTGTGCTGGTATACAGACCAATGTTCAGCAGGGTCCCCTGGGCTCAGAGCGTGGAGCGTCAAGCTCAAGATTTAACTACAGCTGTAAGGGGGTGAGCTTTGAGGGCTTGAAGTTTTAGCGTTAAAAGTTTGAACGCTTTGCGGTTTAGGTTTTTAGGGCTGAGACTGTGGAATTTTAGGATTGAGGGACCAGAGACTTTCGAGTTGAACAGGCTTCGTTGTTTACGGCTGGGGTTCTGAAACCCTCAGCTGCAGAGCCCGAGCTCCAGAGGCCAAGTTCTGCCAAGAAGCTGCGCGTGCTTGTGCATCAAAGTCAACAAGCTCTCGTTCATATCAACCTGACAATGGACAGATCACATGCTAAAGGTTTATGGGCTTAGGGCCTAGGGGCTCGTGGTTTAAGGTTTGGGGGTTTGAGGTTAGTAAGGGGCTTGGGGCCTGTAAAATCTAGGGGTTCGCGGGTCGCTTCTAGTTTTTAGTATTGGTTACACACAAAAACAATTCATCGCCGTCGCTACTTACAGCCGCACGGGAATGTGAAATAATCGATAAAAGTTCCTGCCCGTGGCGACAAGTTGGTTCAGCGCATCCACTGGCACATATGGGGTTCGGAAGGATTGGTTGGTGGCAACGAGTACCATGCTCGACTGCTTGAAAATCTGGTGGGCCTTTCTAGCAGGCGGTGACCCAGTGCTGCGACGCGACGTCGATCAAGAACTGCGCCAGCTCGTCCTGAAGAGACAACTTAAACCTATCATGTGCAGCACCGACGAGTCCGTGTCGGGACGAGGCGACGGCGGGAAGTGTCGCGGAAGGCTCGTGGGCGTGCACCCTGCGCTGAAGGACTCCACCAGCTCCGGTAGTGCGGCGGCTGCAACACAAACTCAATTTCGGCTCAACCTCATCTACAAGCAATGCATAGATCGCCATATCCCCTGCCGGTTTGGTTGGCCGTAGAATCGCCCTTGCGGAAAAGGATTATTCTAGCCAGACCAAATTTGAGTCTTGACTGGACCTCTGATAGAGGGGCCTTAGTAGTAAGAATAAGGTTTTTGGGCCAAAAGTTTACGATGTATATTGAATATAATTATATAATGGCCCCCGCTCGGGAATAGTATTGGTATGGATTGGCGATCATGATTGAAGCTTCCAGATTCCATGTTACAAGGGTAGATAGTGTAGATGGGTCTCTGAAAACTAACAGTCCTTGGTTTGGGCGTCCGGCCAATCCGGATCCGACTGAAAAGTTAGGGTCTATATAACAGTCTGAAGCACTTTCTCTAAATCTCCTATTCCACGACCGTTGTATCGGAACTATGCGGTTAGGTGGGATATCTTCTTATCACTATGTGCTGTACAGGGGCCTCGGGAACCACCAAACAATTCTCCTACAACGTATGCGAAAAGATCTGTCAAGAACGTATCGAACCCAAGCCCTAAAGCCTAAACCCCCATAAAGACCTGCAGCTAGAATTCTTCTAGAACCCAAGCCTAAACCCTAGAATTCGTAAACTCTAAGCCGTCGTACAACCCTATAGAACCCATTTAGAAACCTAATAGAAGCCTTATAGAACTCCTCATGGAAGCCTTCTTGAACCCTTTCAACATCTGGAACACACAAAACCCTAAACCCTAAAACCCGACACCCTAAACCCAAAAAAACCCTGAAACCCAAACCGTCTAGAAACCTTTCTGAAAGCCGCACCGAAAAATAGCGTCTTCGAACCAGCGTTCTTACCGGAGCCGAGGCTCCTTCAGTGTGCCTAAGGGTTTAAGGTTTAGGGTTTAGGGTTTAGGGTTATGGTTTAGGGTTTATGGTTTAGGGTTTAGGGTTTGAAGCTAGAAGCATAGAATAGGGTTCCTTTACTGGTTCCTTTAATGAGTTAAAGGTAAGACTATAAGGCTTACTGTAGGGTTTAAGGGTAGGGGCCTCAAGAAGCTTATCAGTCCTTCACTACTCTAGGGGCTACTAGAAGTACTTGAGTGTAGGGGCCTCGAAATTTGCTTACCCGGGTTCCCTTAAAAGGGGTCATTAAAGTTGTCTATAGCGGATTTCGGGTTTGGGCGTCTTCGGGTTTAGAGGGCTTAATAGTTAGGCCAGGGTGGTGTGAGTATGATGTGGTATAGGTACAATAGGGGACCCTATGCCCTAAACCCTAAACCCCCTATGGCATAGCATCATCAACAACCTAGGCTTCCCAACTACCATAGCGACAAGATCTCCCAAAGGCTCAGTTACCCCCTAAGCCCTAAACCCTAGACCCATGGGATTTAGGGTTTAGGGTTTAGGACCCATAAGGCTGTTACCTCCTAAACCCTAAACCCTAGACCCATGGGATTTAGGGTTTAGGGTTCAGGGTTTAGGGTTGAGGGTTTAGGGTTTAGTACCATAAGGCTTTAGGTTTGGAGGTCAAAGGGTTAGCTGGGCCTTGAACACCCTGCTGCAGGATCATCAAGCAAAGCTCCCTTATGTAACGAGGGTTTAGGGGTTAGGGTTTAGGGTTTAGGGCATTGTCCTGCCTGCATGTCTTCTAGTGGCAAATGGTTCGTACTCCTCGCAGCACGACCAAAGCTTCGAATGCACGTGAAACTCCCAACTCCTCATCTTAGTTTAGGGTTTAGGGTACTGCACCTGGCCTGAAACCTGTGTCAGGTGGGTTACGAAAAGTCCTGACTTGCTGGCATAAAGTTGTTGCAAGCCTGACGCGAAACAGCAGTTGCTAGCAAATGCGAACAGGTAGGCCTGAGATTGAACCCTGCAGCGTTACCTCCCTCCCATAAAATCAAATGGGCTCCTCCCGAATGGCATTTCCAGTTCGAAGGAGAAGAAGTGGATGCACCAGAAGGAGAAGACGACGACGAACGTCAATGTGCCGGCCCACCTGGTTGGCTCCAGACGGGTTCAAAAGCTGCCTCGGACTTTTACACCAGCGATTTCATGGGGCTCCCTCAACCCAAGCGTTCGTCCACAAGAAAGCGCATAGCAGTGAGAACTCCCCCTTGGGGAACGATCTTCTTCATGAACCAGAAACGAAATCTAGCCCTGATTGGGGGCTCAAACGAAACTTCAAAGATCCCTAGGGTTTAGGGTTTAGGGTTTAGGGTTTAGGGCTTAGGGCTATCTAGGGCTCATGGGGATCATTGAAACTAAAGCAAAACCTTCGACAATGATCATGACCACGAGCCCCCGATTAGCAAAGCCCTCTAGCCGTAAAGGCCAAGTCAATTTGGGTCGACAGTTCACCAGGGCCCTGAAAAGACCATACCTTTTTGAGAATTATTTTGAGAAACCCAAAACCCAAAACCCGATAGACGAACCCTAAAGAAGGTAGCTTATGTAGCGCTCATGTAGGGGTTGGGTTGAAGCTTTGGAGGTGCAGAGTTGAGCCTAAACCTAAACTTTAAACCGGGTTGACTCTTTGAGGGTATTTTTGAAAATTTAGGGTTCAGGGTTTGGGGTTGCTTGAAAAAACAAAAGAGAACTTTACAAAGATTATACTGGGATCCTTATAGATTATAGTTATAGTGACATGTAGAGTTCGAGGATTGCGGGCAGTAAGGCTTACCGGGCTCCCCACACGACGGATGCGTTGCCAAGGAACCATCGTATTCAAGGCTGACTTGGGTTCAGGGCATTTTTGTCGGGTCCTTGAGGTTAACCCTAAACCCTAAACCCTAAACCCTAAACCCTAAACCCTTAGAACAAAGGCTTTGGGGTTTTGGGCTTTAGGGCTTAGGGGTTTTCGGGTTTTGGCGATGGGGTTTACGGCATCTTGTGGTTTCCTCGAAACCCCGACCCCTAAAC